GACCTTCTCACAGGTACCGTAGGATCCACAACGTTTGCCTACCACGAACTAGGACGGTGTTTTGCACAGGGTGTTTTCAAGCGGCCTTTTTTCAGAGATAATGTCTCCATGTCAGTTTTGTTTGTAACTGTCAATTGTTCGATTCTTATAGGGACGGCTTTGTCCGTGGAAAGACTCTTTGCTGTAGTTTGGCCTCATTTTTTTCGTGCTTCAATCACTATTAAGAAGACTTGTGCGTGCACCATAATCATATTCTGTGTTTCAACAGCGTTTATCCTCATCCTTTTTTTAGCCTTGCCACCTGGTCTATTCGAACTGGTAGATATTTTTTTTAACATGATCCTTCCATTTGTCATCATCGTTCTGAGCTTTTTTTTTATTTACTGCAAACTAAGGCAGCAAAAAAGAGCAATTTTTTTACGTGAATCAAGCAATGGAGAATTTCAAAGAGGCCGTTTTTTTCCAGATAGAAATATGGCGATTCAGAAAAAACTTTCATTTTTTTCTTTCTTCATTGTGCTTTCTCTTGGGCTGTCAATGCTTTTTTTCATCATACTAACAGCTATTGAAGGCGAATGTGCAAATTTTTTTGCAAAGCCGTGGTTTTTTGTGGCATGGCGTACTTCATTTTTTTTTGTCATGTGTAGCGCAATTTTGAATCCAATAATTTTTTTTTTCAGGCTGCGGAGCTACAATASATCGATAAAAGCGATTTTTTTTCTAYCTGTGGTGGAAGAACAGATGGCACCATCGATGTTTTTTTGAATGGAGACGAAWCTGTGATGTCATCATAATGAACTTTTTTTTTGAAAACACTTATGATAAATGACCTGTATACACCCTTTTTTTAAGTCCCGAGGTATTGTGTTCTCCGTACTTGACGTCTTTTTTTTTCTTTTGAAATCCTTTTGTATTGTAAAAATTTCAATTTTTTTAATTTGACGTCAAGTGCAGAGAACTCGATACATCGGTTTTTTTCAAAAGGGTKTATATGAATGCTGTTTTCAAGCATTYTTTTTTTGCAATAGATCATGAAAAATGACTATTGTCCTGTCACTTTTTTTTTCGGTGTAAAAATTTCTGAGAATTTCAATTTATTGTTTTTTTAACTAGTTTTAAACGTAAAAATGTGGTTTAATATAATTTTTTTTCATCATGTATGTACAATTGGTATATTATACCGTAGTTTTTTTCATTTTCTTATTTCTATCTGCATTTACCATTCAGTTAATCTCACTGAGTTCAGACAACTACAGATATAAACTTGCAGCATTTTTTTTATCTCGCTTGATTTTAATGATGCCTACAGAAAGAATTTTTTTGTTACCATAGCAACAAAAATGACGTCAGAAAGCTTTTTTTTTTTCAGAAGTGAAACTAGAGAGTTTAACTTTTCTTAAATTTTTTTACTTACCTTCAGCAAATTTATTTTCTAATTCAGTATTTTTTTTGGCTTTGGCAGCTTGGCACATTTGCCGCAGCAATTCTTTTTTTCTGCGCATGCATCGTATGACACTTCCTGGAAATACATTTTTTTAAAGT